TAAGCGTTTAATGGTTATATGATAGTAAGGGGCTAAGTTGCTTGGCTTAGTCATTTTGTCACCACCCATGCCTATTAGCTTCGAGTTTTACCTTTATATTTCATTTTCATTTTTCTCATGTAGGTCTAAGAGTTTCATGTAAAGGAATTGATTGAACGAAGGATGAAAATGGAACTCGATATTATTAACTTCTCGCAATGACTCATTCGTTTATATTTTGCTTGTTAGTTTGGACTTTTATGATCTTGATTATTGATAATTTGAACTTGCTAAATGTTTGATGCTTATATTTTTTATTTAAGTATATATTAGTAACTTATGGATATAATGCAAGTTTGAAAATTTAAATAATATTATTAGAACCAGACCACACTGAACTAGAACCAAATGCTTCGGTTTGATTCGGTTCGTTTCCACATCTTAAAAAAACTATTTGGTTCCATTATAAAAAAACCATTCGTTCATGGTTCAGTTAGAATATCTTGGAACCATAACCAAATAGAATGACATCCACCCCTTCAACAAGAGGAAATTACATATGAATAGATATTTAAGTTTTTCAATTTAAAAATCAGGTATGAAGTTTAGTTAAGCAAACATCATGTATTTATTGAATTATTAATAATATTATAAAATTTACCCGCCCGCCCCAACCTCAATACAAAATCTAAATTATTTCTCCATCCCCATCTCACTCTTCTCTCTACCTTGTCTAATCCCGGAAACCACCCTCTTTGATCGTTCGATCCAATTGGCGACACCCACAACCAGCCTCACTCATAACCTCCACCATTCAATTTACATACAACCCGGAGTTTTCCCGATTTCGCACCCCAACCGACAACAACCTCAAACCCCTATTTTTAGTCTGCCTCTATTGCCTCTGCAATTTACAGCGAACTCGTACAAATCGGCGCTCACTTCTCCATCTCGGAAGGCGACGGCGCTCATAGGAGCACCGCCGTCGAGAGACGGTGCTGTAAGCGCCGAAACTCTGAAATTTTTTGTCCGACTTTAGATCTGGCGAACGTGGTTGGAGGTATGGCGGTGTGATGTTGTGGTGTGGTATTGTTGGTGGTTTGGTGAAGGAGGTGATGTTGGATTTGATGTGGTGGTGGTGGGCGACGACAGTGCTTATGAAGAGAGCAGAGCAGCCCATTAGATGGTTTTGTTGGTGGTTTTGCAAATGGGGTAGTGGAGCATAATGGTTTGGTGGTAGTTGTGGTTTTTTTTTTTGGGGCCACACTACGTGTACACATGGCCTTACAAACACTCACATGAAAGGGGCTCACGCACAATAAAATATTTGTGAACCCCCTTCTATGCGAGGGGGGNTTTTTCAGGTATTTTAACTTACACTAAATTATGTCCTGGACTATCCATTCCCGACCCCTCAGTGATGGGTGGAGGTTAACCGTGGGATATACCGAAGTTGATCAGAGTCTGTGCACCCTTTATACTCCTGGTCCTAAGGGAGCATTCCTCCATGGATATTACATCACCAAGCTGCTCCACCCAAATTGTGTATTACAATATTCAGCTGCTCCATCTAGAAATCGAACTCTCCACCTTCAAGTTGCAAGCCCAACAGTGCCCATCCAGGATATTATTCTTTTTTTTTGTTGGGTGGTGGTTATGGCTGTTGGGTCTATGTCTATGTTGTTGACGGTGGGATCGTGTTGGTGATGATGACGCTATTAGGCTGTGTTGGTGGTGATATGTGACCAACTATTTGGTTATTTGTAATCAACTATTTTATTGTGACATAAAAATTTCATAATTTGTGATTAACTAATTTGAAAATCTGTAACCGACGAAATAAATTGTGATCTATTATAATTTTTTACTGTGACCATGAAATAATCCGTGATCAATTAATTTGATAATATATGACGTTGTGACATATAAGTACGTACATGTGATCATTTATTGCATAATTGTGATTTTAATATGTTTAGAATCTGTTTTGTACAGATTCTCATTTTATACGGTAAATCTATTCTCATTTTCAACCACACATTTTTCAATAAAATAATATTTTTCATCACATCAATACTTTTTTCTTCTTTTTTAACCACATATTTCTCATCATATCACTATTCAAAAATCAATTCTTCCCTCAAAAATCACTACCAAACACACTCTTAATTAATAATATATATTTAATTAATTAATAAAGACCAACTTGTTACTCTCCATTCTAAGAAAACTCGGTAGTTCTAAACCTCTTCTTAGTGACATAAACCCAAACATGTACCCTGGAAACACTGGCACTTTCAAAATCTCAACAAAGATTTTGAATTTGGACAAAACTTCTTACAAGAATCTTGGTATACTATGCATTGATGAAACCGAGCGCAAAATTGGTAGAAAATGGGTTCAAAACTCTGTTTATTTGTTAAGAAACCTCATGAAGCTCTTAAAGTGGAAATGTGTTCGACCAAATGTCTCAATGAGAAAACATTTGCACCATGGTTTAATGAAGGAAACAAGCCTGCATATGTTTCTCGCTGGATCAACTCAATGTCCGATGAGGGCTCTGTGATGATCATTGTAGCTGATGAAGAGGAAAGTTCTGCTATGCAAATCATAGTCGCTTTCCCTAATTAGTTAACATAAGAAAATGGTGTTTTCCTGGGTCTTGTGGAAACTCAAAACTATTTTTATTGTCACTTCATCTGAAAATTAAAGAAAAAATTTTCAGACAATATTCAAGATCATATTACTCTACACAAGAAAAAAGAGGCATTAGCGCTTTTGCGTACACTACAAATGCGTAAAACGATACTGAGGGAAAAAAAAAAAACGTCAAATCTCATCTACTTTAAAGTTCAATCCTCCAAACTCTTTAACCATCATTTGACTCACTTTTAATTTTATGGGGTTAGATTTTGCTTTGCAGCTTCACTCGATATCCTAAAATTTGACGTAAGATATTTTTAAAACAACTTATTCGCATTCATTTAAGAATACAGGTCCACTTGCTTTTCGAACAATAAATTGAGATTGGATGCTACCTTTTCCCATTATATAAAACCTTCATTTTATTAACACCTAGTGCCATTACACCTTCATCCAGAGAGGATTGAAAGAGACTGGTCTATACAAGAAGGGGAAATGTCTGGATCAGGGTTTCGTCTCTTTTGATCCCTGCCACATAATGGGGTTGGTAAAATTGGAGAAATGAAATGTCCAAATTAACCTCAATATGCTTTTTAATTTCATTTCCACACCCCTGTGGATTTTGGGAGTAAAGGTGACCACAAAATGAATGAATAACCTATTCAAGTTGTCCAAATTTAGGCCAATCAAAACCTAAATGAAAAGGATGTTTGTAATTGTGGGAATAATCTATGCCCTTTCATAAAAGCATTAAAATGGATTCTTAGGTTGCTAGTTGGTGCACATGACACTTGTTTTTTTTTTTTTTTTTAAAGTTCCACCCAATTATGGTTTAATCATAAGATGAATTATATCGTACTCGAGAGTGTAAAAGAATTAAAGAAGAGAATTTGAATTATGTGTTATTATATGATTTAGTATTGCATATCAAATATTACTCTGAAATTCATCAATCCATACATTTACAAGTAGGGGAAGATAATGAAAATTCAAAATTTTCGAACAATTTTACTCTACATCTAGCTAATATTAAAGAAATGAAACATGCTATCAATATTACGCCTCACCTTTATTAATTGGATAAACTTTAACAATAGTACTAGATTTAATATAAGGGATAATTTCCTATCAAGAGGATAACGACCAAACAAATGGTTGTCTTTTCTAGGATTTTCTAATTGAAAATGTTAGAATCCAATGTTTGACACTCGAGAAATCGAGCTAGAGCATGTCTGATTAAGCTGGGGAAAAAAAAAAGTAAAAACATATTTTCGGGTAATCGCAAATAAGTTTTAGAACCAAAAAGTGGAAGTAGAAGAAATTAACTTATAAAAACCTTGATTTTGGCAAGAAAAGTAACTTAGTAAGTTTAGCCAAAAATGATTAACAGTTTAAGAAATTATATGCATGTTAACAAGATTATACTTGAGCAATCTGATCTCATCCTCCCAGCAAAACCTTTTACTGTTGACATGACAAGAGAAATTTAGTTATAATTCTAAAACGTTCATAAATTTAGAGAACTGTTCATAAATTCAGATAATCATAACTAAGGTTCTTTTGTCACGTCAACAGTGGAAAGTTTTTATCCCGTCCACTAAGGTTTCAGAGAATCACAACTAAAGTTCTCCTATCATGTCAATGGTGGGAAGTTTTTATCCTACCCCCTCATAGCAAGAGATCAATTCTATATACTTGAGGGGGCTAAAATTTAACTTTAAAAGTAGTCTTGAAATCATGGCAATTTGGCAATATATGTGCATGATAAAAGTAGACGATATAAAGGAGTATTTCATTGTTACCATCAAAGTAGTCTTGAAATCAAGTTTAGTGTCATTATAAAACTTTCAAATATAAGTCTATGATAATGAATTTGATCGGAATGTGAAGGACACGGAATAATTATACTTTAACTCTAGTGTTAATAAAGAAATTGTACTTCAATTTTTTCAATCGAACAATTATACTTCAATATTATTTCAATCGAGTAACTGCATTTTAATTTAATTTAATTGCATAGTTTTCACGAGTAACTGTTAGTTGTTGGTATGAAATAAGTCAATTTCATTGAAATAAATTATGCACATAAATGAATAATTCTTTTTTACGTAAAAATTTAAGCTTCTAGACCTACAATCTAGGTGCACAGAATGTGGATGCACCCAGAGGTATGCCCAACAAGATAATTCTATCAAGCACTCCTCTATATATAAACATCTACACTCTATAACATTGTTGTAAACAAATTGTCCCCAAACATTTGCTCTGTCCGAATTAAGAGAAATATTGTCTAATTTTGTACAGTACACAATTATGGCTCTCTCATGTTCCATGTTCTTGCTGTCAATACTGCTTGCATTTGCAGCCTTTTCAGCTGCTCAACCTCCATCGGCCACACCCACAATGCCACCATCTGGCATGGCGGCACCACCACCTATGGCTGCATCTCCGCCTTCAAGTAGCATGTCGCCGGCTATGTCACCACCGCCAATGGCGGCTCCACCACCTATGGCTGCATCTCCACCTTCAAGTAGCATGTCGCCGGCTATGTCACCACCGCCAATGGCGGCTCCACCACCTATGGCTGCATCTCCGCCTCCACGTAGCATGTCGCCGACACCAACAATGGCGCCTGGTCCAACCATGCACTCACCCCCTCCACCACCTATGGCACCCATGGGGCCATCTCCAGGGCCTTCTTCTATGCCTCCTCCTCCACCCCAGTCGGCTGCTGTTGTATATGTATGTAGCACGACTATCTTAGCATTGCTAGGGGGAGCTGCACTCCTAGCTTAACTTTATGGCTACCGGTTTCAGTTTCCATTTATGTTTTTGACTTATTTGGTAAGGTAGACTAGTACTTATTATCAAATGAAGCTATGATCTTGTCAATTATATTGTTCTATGTATGTACCAAACGTGCTTCGTTTAGGGTTGAATAATTATTTGTGTATTCTTTCATTTCTAAGCGTTTCTTTGTGCTATCTCTACATGTAACCATTTATGTGGTGGTTGATTATGGATTTTATTAGAGTTATTGTGCTACTACTTGTAGCATTTTGGCCTTAGCTTTAATAAGAAGACTTCTGTCATTCTTGTTTGTGTTTCAATACTTAGAATCTCTATTTACATATATGTATTGTGAAACTGCAAAATGAAGCATTGGAATCAATAAACAACACACTATGTACACGTTTCTTACGTTAGACTATACATGATTGAAGTGAACAACTAATAAATTGTTTACATGTCTCGATCCGTTCTTCGATACTATCAAGTCTTATCTAATGAAATATGTCAAACATGTTAAAACATACAGTTCTACTTCGATTTTCATGGTTGCTGGATGCTTGACCAATTGAAAGAAGTCAGCTGAGCAGAAATTGTTTTGAAATTGAAAATGCATGTGTTCAGTGTGTGTAAGTTTAGATAAAACACTAACTAAATGGGTGGAGGAGAGTAGAGTAGCCTTTAGGAAATGGGGAAGGTGTCCATTGGGAGTTCTTCAGTGGCTTGGAAGGAAGAGATTAGAAGGGATAGCACATAAGAGGTGGGTTGGCAAAGAAGTGGGGGCAAAATAATTAGGATTGTGATGTGCACATGGTGTGTTAACCCCACATACTATCACACACATGAAGAGAATAATATTTTAGGAAATTTTTGGATGCGCGCTTGCGTGGCTTTAGCAAATGGTTTAATCTTAACTTTCAAGAAAAAAGGGTAAAATTTAAAAAAGTGACTTTTTTTTTTCTTTTATTTTAAGAATGAGTGATTGAAAAATAGTGTGGATGAGAAATGATTTTCAAATAATCACTTCTAAACAACGATTCAATTTCAATTAAGATAACTCATTACCATTCCACTAAAGAAAATTGATCGCATAATCAATAGATGACGATCACCACAAGTGGACTTTAGTTGCGACTTCTTTACAACGTCAGCTAAATAAATGATGACTATCATCATTGACTGTCACGTTATATCAATTTTTTTATAAGCCCAAATTACGAAATTAAATAGAGTTGCTCGATAAAATCAAATTAAAGTGTAATTATCTTATGGTCCGTTTGATTGTAAATGTGAAATTTGGATTAAAAAAATGAATTACAGGGAATTAAATTATCTAAAATTTGTTCTATTGGGAATGATAATTAATTGTGTTTGATTGGTATAATTTTCCACCTAAAAAATGTTGAAATTTTGGATTTTTTAGTGTTCGTTTGACTTTGTTTTCCATGGAAATTGTCCATTAAAGGGAAAAAAAAATTTACGATTGTCCGTAGAATTTGTCTTCATTGCTAAAAAAAAAAAAAAAACAAAAAAAAAAATAACAAAAAAAAAATTTTTTACTTTTAAAAAAAAAAAAAAAAAAAAATGGTAGCATGGAAAACCTAGGTTTTCCTTGAAAACCAAGAATTTGGGGGAAAATGAGGTAAATGTGGAAAATGAATTTCATGGAAAAATTTAACCTATCAAACAACTTAAAAGATGGAAAATGGAAAACGAATTCCAACTTCCCTAAAGAATTGGGTGCTATCAAACAGGCCCTTAATGAAATTGAAAACAATTACTAGGAATGGAATTTTAACCCAAGAAAAACAAAGGTAAACAAATTGTTACCAAGTACGAAAATTGATCCATGATTCTTGAACTAGGAAACGTGAGATTCTCAGAGCAAAAATGGTGTCCGTGTATTCAACAAAAGTCAGATAAAAGCATCGGATCCATACAAAGTAGACAATCAGAACCAACTTTATATCTTTTCGTTTAGTTGGCAACACCAAATAATGCACCCTTTGCCAAAAATTAAAAAAAATAAAATTTTCTATATAATTTCTATGAGATTCAAAGTTAATAATTCAACTCTATAATCACGTGTAAGACAAATTATCAAATAAATGACTGGATGAATGGTAGTATTAACTACGAAAAAAATTTCAAACACAAAATATGATAATATTAAAATAATAATAATAATAAAAAGTTACACTATCTTGGAGCCTAAAAATCTAAGCGAAATTCAGTGAGGAACCGGAAATCCAAGCGAAAATTAAGGGACCAAAATGAATGTTTCACTATCTTGGAGCCTAAACATCTAAAAAGTTACAAATAGCAAAGCATAGTGGAATGTAACACTACAGGCAGTAGAACTCCAAAGAGCCAATAATAAATATAAAAGCTCAACAACACAAAGATGATAAAGCTATATAGTTGTATCCATACCCAAGCTTCAAGAAAACGCTTGAAACAGGTTTTTTTTCCCCATCAACTACTCTTAAAAAAAAAGTTTTCCCATGCAGGATAGTCGAGATCGTCTGTTAGTATTCTTTGGAAATCGCTGGACAGGAAGATTGTATGCAGGAGTCTCAGTAAGTAAAAGAATGTTAGTGTTTTCAAGGTTATGGAGTGATTATATTAAGGTTTCATCTTCATACCTGGATAATCACAGAGAGTAACTTTCTTTCTGGAGAACAATGGATTTCAAGCAATTTAAAGTGAGGAAAACTTAGTATGAAGAGATTATTTTATCAGTCAAACAAATAACAATCTCATCTCAACCGGCAGGAAAAGAAGAGCATGACAGTCCACTAAATTTTTACACGATATAAACTTTAAGGCATACTCCAACCCAATATCATATCACAGTAGATTTTTACCATCCAACCAATCCATTTCCTTTACTGGTAATTTAAAATAATTAATTTATATGAAAATAAAAATTCCTCATTTCAGAAAAAAATAATATAATACCAAAATGACAGTATATTTCAGTCATCTTATCACTTTTCTACTGGCATCATTCAAAACCAAGTAGCTTGCATGTAAATATTAATCCAAAAGCTGATTGCATGACATTGAAAAGATAAAGCTCAGCCATGAAAACAAGGAAAGGAGGAGTCCTCCAGGAAAAAATGTAACAAAAAACTCTAGTTAGAAAAATAACGAGGAACATTCCTCGACCTCTTCATGGTAGATAGATGCATTTCATGCTAATTTGCAACCTAAAATGCTCTCAGGGAAGAAAACCTTATGTCGATGAATAGGATGTTACAACACAAACTAACTTCTTTCCAACCAATTTCAGTTCAAGTCAAAAAGAATGCTGCTAAATTATGTGGTCAATGCTCAGATGATAAAAATAAAAGTATTGGATTAACTTTCACCTTTTTCTTTGTTTCCTTCGACAAACAAAACATTCATTACATGGGGACTTGCTAACCGAGAAGCCAGATTGGAGCTTACTTGGTGAGACTTTCAATTCTTCAATCAATATTTGGCAAAGCCTCTCATTTTCTCTCATCAATTCCTCAATGAGTAGTTGGTGCTTCAACACCTAAATGCACGAGGAATTCACCGTGTGAAAATTACGTGTAAAAAACCAGTAAGACTAAATTTTTTTACCAGAAGCAGAACTGAGGTCGTCGTATTTGCATGAAGTAAAGTTGATTGAGAAAATATGCATAAATAGATTGAAGAAGATATTTTATAACGACTCCGTTTATGAACAGCCCGCCGGGGATGAGGGCCATGGGGGATGTTCTTATATGACTAGAATGGAACAAAATTCCAAAATAAATTTGCTTCTAAATAAGTGCAGTACCATCTGAAGCATGTTGTTCTGTGATTGCAACTTCTCAGCCTGCAAGTGAAATCCACTGATTAGAGCTCTCATTTACATAGCAACAACATAATTCAACGTAACCTATGTTCCATCCATCAGGAGAGCTTACTAGGTGTTCATATTATTTGTTCCATTGTAGATATGGTGATTGACAACAAAGTCAAAAGGAAATATCCCCAGCATTATTTATATATATATACAGATCCGTTGAACGCACGGAAAATTAAATTCTCATTATACACATAAAGAACACAAATCTATGTGTATCTTTGGAATTACTTTGTATCTTGTTCCATCTTTTCAGGAAATGCCAAGCTATGGTAATCAAAAACTTTCGGTATCTCCAAATCAAAGTTACAGTACTGAATTTCCATAGAAATCATACTATGAAGGGAACCCGCCCCCCACCCAAAACCAGCACAGAGGAAATAAGAAAAAAAAAAACTGGCACATTGAGTGTATGCTGCAAAGTAAAAAATAATATATGGAAGTATGAAAATTAAAAGGTCTGCGTTCACATACTTGCTCATTTACTTTGCCCCCCTCTTTCAAAAGTGGATTCTCCAAAAAGTTGCTGATGACCTTCTCTACTTGACTGGTAGATTGAGTGTTTACTGCATCAGTTTCAGGTGCTAAAGTTTCCACGGAAGAAATCACATTTGTACTTCTCTCCCCAATATTGCCTTGTTCTGTACTATTGGGTATTGATTTTACCAACTGACCCATACTTCCTATTGGATTATCATGTGAGGGTTCCTTTACCATGCTTATGCCACTTCGTAAGGACGCTGGGAGAATGCCTTGATCAGCAAACAAGCTGGGAGATATTCCAAGTTTCATCATCACATGTGTAACTGCTTGCTGAAAAATTAGGAGATGAACTAGATTTAAAAAACAACTTTGGAATGCACTATTAACTAAATAGCATACAACTTGAGTACGTACTAAAAGACTCGACTGCATCTGGTGCACTACACCAGGCTTCACAGCAAGGCCTGCAATGCATCATAATATCTTAGCTATTTAGTGCAAGTCAGGATGAATGTGAGCTGCTGAATTTCAAACTAATAATCACTCATATCAACAGGTCTTTCTATGGATCAAACACATATGTCAAGGTAGAAAATAAGAAAAAGAAGTTAAAAATGTTGTTTATACTACCGACCAATACTATCGAGGATAGCATACCAAACATGCCCATAGTTCCTAATATATTAGCTTCAGTAAAATAGTTTAGTACATAAGCTGTGGAGCAAAGAAAGAAGCTTGAACAAATTAAATATGTTGACCAAATCTCAAGTCAAACAATAATGTTAGGCTCAAATATGTTATTGAAGGCTGAAAACAGTACAGAGATTTTAGAGATGATATATTCAGCCAATACTAGATGAGGTGATATCTGGCATCAAGAAAACAAAGTGAAAAAATGTGACTTGCAGAAAAATTAGCTTGCCAATAATCCAGATGAGCCCAAGTAGCAGATTTAATGGTGAAGCAATGGCAACCTATTTAAAATGAACTTGTTAGTAAATAAAGTAACTTGGACGTTAATTACTCAAATTCCTAGCTCATCAATTCAAGAAAGAAGTTAAATAGTTTTCCACCATCTTCTGATTAAAAATAGAGGTCTATTATGCACGGTTTAGAAGAAAGCATTAGTAAAATGGATACCAAAAAGACTGTATAGCTTTGTTTTACAATAGAACCAATTTACTGTAAGTCATAAGATATTTTAAGTGTTATTTGGTTTATCTTGCTTAAAGCAGAAATTGGTTTCACATAAGAACAAATCAAGCTTGATTAAGATTATTAACTCATGCTTCCAAAATACACTTAATATGAAATATGTGGACTATATATTTCGTAAAAAAATTAGATTCTTTCTTTTCCTCTTCTACAACTTATAGAATGTTAATGCAAAAAGTACAGTGAAAAATGATAGTGTCAGCATAGATAAGAAAAATAATTGCCTACAGTGCATTTTGATTAACAAGAAAGATACAATCCTAGTAGAACACGTCGAAAGAGTTCCAGAATTAACATGGCTTTATGAATTTGCAACACATTTGCTTCATTATATGTTTCAGTAGACGTGTATTGGATTGAAATGAGTGACAAAATAAATTTATGTAGCCGTCCTCAAGTTGTTTATGGTATATTTTGAATCAGCAACTACAAAATGGTCATAATTGCAAAGTAGTGATAATGCTTGGGCCGTAGGCATTAGGAAAGAGGGATTGAAATGAGTGAAAAAATCAATTTATGTAGCCGTCCTCAGGTTGGTCATGGTATATTTTGAATCAGCAACTACAAAATGGTCATAATTGCAAAGTAGTGATATGCTTGGGCCGTAAGCATTAGGAAAGAGGGATTTTTTAGATGAATTTATTTTAAAAGCAAAGAAAAAAATAGCTCTGTTTCAGTTTTTACTTATGAAAGTAGCCTTCTGTGTACTTGACAAATAATGTCCACTTTATCCTTGTCGAAAATAGTGAGCCTGTTAAAGTAGTGGGTGGCGAGCTAGGTCCTTAACTTGTCCAACTTGACTAACTCGTCAAGTTGCACAGCTTGGGAAAAATTGAAAGGGGTAGTTCTGTTTTAAAAGTTCCTTTAGCCGAAACAATTTCATGGCCCAACAGCTCCCTTAATTAATGCAGGAACACCCGATGAAATGTTTGCAATAACTATTCAAATACTATTTCTTTGGAAACTTCACCTACTTGTCCGTAGAAACCTCAAATTCAGAGAAGTGACTGTTCAACTTGAACAAGGAAAGACAAGGGCAATTTTGGATTATCAGAAATTTACTAAAGAAAGTAGGCTTGTTTGTAAGACAATTTTAAGAAAAGGATAGTTTTCATTCATAGTTATGCCTCTTTCCCTCGTAAGTGGCACCTGAACTAATCAGAAAATATGAAAATGGTCCGAGCTTACATCAATTTAACATGAACAAAAATGTGAGTAAGCATCTGAAGAATATCTAAGCAGTACTTCTATAATCTGAATACTTACCAACTCCAAAGCCATGGCCAAAACCCACTCCACAACCAATGCCTGCTTCAAGGTTCTTTGCACCCACTTTCCTCAACTGGACATAGGATCAATAAGGACAAAGAAATATTGGAAAACTTGCTATTACAAAAGTTACCAAATCATCCAACCGACAGATATTAGCAAAACCTACTGAATTATTGACATGTCTTCCAACATTAGAAAAAACATCTGTTGCGCCCCGAGTGGCAACCATAATTTGGTTCAGAACTGGTATAGCACCTGATGCACAAATTAGCTTTGAAGTTTGTTATAATGAACAAAAGTGTGAATAGGCCACATACACGATCACTGATTTTATATTTATCACATCATCATGTTGAGCATCCGAAAGAATAATCAGAGCAATACATTGTAGCATGATCTCATCACATTCAATTGATTTTTTTTATGACAAATAGTTATAATGACAATTGGTGAAGTTACCAAGACATAACAGGAGAAATAATGTTTACCAGACATCATAACTAGGAATGGATCCAAAATCTAATGGACTTCCAAGATTATATGAGCAAGATATGAATAATCAAACAAAAGGTAATCGTAATTGTTGCATAACTAGAATATACAAATGAACACTATGCTTCTATTTTTTCGCCATAGAAAACTTAAGGGGTCATAGTGTCCTTTACTGCTGTATACAACTGCTTCTTGGTGCTTTCTTATCCTAGTTGCTTCTTCAACTAAGCAATATTAATTCTAGGCAACATTTTTCTTCTCTCGGTTGCACATCAAGGAACCATTTTAATTGGATTAGCAACCCTATCCACTAAGTATAGCTCAACAAGTGGGCAAAGGCATCTCCAGCCACAGACTAAGCCTCTGTTTGACAACTATTATTTCAAAATTCTTTATTCTACATACATATTTTCAACCACACATTCACGTAATAAAATATTTTACGTGTAAACCCAAAATTTTTCCCAATTTTTTAACCACGCATTCTCCAAATCACTATTCAAAACATTTTTTGAACAAATAATGTCCATCAATCATGGGCTAAAAGAACTGATTTTATCAACAGGTTTGGTCATTTGGCTTTATAGAGATTTTACAAGCACAAACATAATGATGAGCTAAACCCAAAAATCAAATTAAATATGTCCTATCATCATGCAAAACTGTAAACTAAATATAGTTGAGAAATAAAATTATATTGGGTCTTCCAATATCAATGGGTTGATTGTTTCGCTCATGTATCTTCCAAAAGGAAAAAAGATCTCTGAGAGTTGTTTCCTGAATCCGAAATAGAGTACTTGGGTTCTCTCAATAACTAAAAAGTGTAGCATGTCTGAATCTAATTAGGGTTCGCGGTGGTGGAGATACTGGATCGGAAAAAAGAGGGATTCTAGTTGTAAGATATCTAATGAAACCGTCGCTGGAATTGAGATCTTATTCAAAGAGAAAAATATCAAATATCTGGAATTTCTTTTTGTATATTATATGGATGATCCGATCCACAAGGACCATGATTAGGAATTGTTTGATCGCCTTTCTCTGAGGAAGAGGCGAAATAGAATCAACTTAAATTTGAGACTGCTATTTGAAAAACAAAGAAAACATCAAGAATTTCACCAAGTATTTTACCCATTACTATATAGTTACCAAACAAAAATTTTAATTTCTTACATCCCAAATAACAATTAATGCTCATGATTTTATAATAAAACAACATACTTCGAAGCAATGCAAGCATTCAAACTCCATGAAAAATGTACCAAAACAAGGTTTAGAATTTAATAAACTTGATGAATCTCATGTTTTCTTTTGTTTCATTTCAATTTAGTCATATCTAAGATTTAAATGTCAATCACCCCCATTTGTCCAATAGCAAACGCACCGTTCATGCATTAATTCAAACATAAAAAACCCATAAAATTACAATCAAGCAAACTACAGGTTTCCACATTATGCAAAAGCCCCACCAAAATAAATCAACCATGCGCAATAATACAAGCATAAAATAAAACATTTTTACATGAATTTTGGGTATTCTCTTCTTTGGGTTTAAACAAACCCCGAAGTTCATCATTTTCGTATTTATTCAATAAATAGCTTCGAGTCTAGAGAGAGAGAGATAATTGATGGGAGAAAACTGAAAAAAAGGTAAAAAATGGGTACCTAAATTTAAAGGGCGACCAACGCCGATGCCAATGCCACAGCCAATTCCAAAGCCAGTGAATACTTGACCCACTTTCAAAGTAAAAGGATTCTCCATTCCCACCATTCTTTTCTCTTTTGTGTTCATCGCTAATTAGTCTTCACTTTCTTTATTTGGCTCCAAAACTATTCAAAGGTGCAGAACTACAGGTGGGAGAGATTCTCCGTATGCCTTTTCATTTCTCCCAGCTGCATTGTTGTGAATCTTGTCATCCTGTGCTCTGCTCAGGTTGAACGGGGTATTTTATTGTTTGGGCCTCAACCGTCGGCCCAATATACACTGTGTTTTGTGAAAAATAACATTTGAGATCATCGGTTTTGTCTCAATGTTCTTCCTTCTAACAAAGGTTGATTCTACGTTACTATGACTTTTTGAAGTTGTCTATAAATTCTACATCCATTGAATCTCGAAAATTTAAAGAAGACATGGAATGATCAGCACCATTGATGATAGAACACTAATTTAAGTGACATTAAATGATATACTTAATGAAATGTATAATTAAATTATTCATTTAATTGTATCTCTTGTTTAGCAATCAATATCAGATCAACCTATCACAGATCACATTCCAGCAATCAGATATCGTTAGAGGTGTCAATCTGGGTAGTCCGGGCCGGGTGGGCCCGCCAATATATGAACCCGGTAACGGCCCGCGTGAAAAAAAAGCCTACCCGCTACGGATTCGGGGCCGGCTCATAAATTTTAGACTACAACCCAAGCCCACCCGCTGACCCATCCGGGTCGAGCCCATGAGGGTTACCGGTCGCGCGGGCCGCGGTTTGTTCCGATTTGGCCCGTATTATTGTATAAATAAAATTATAAAAAATATAGAATTTTTCATATTTTATAGCAAAAAATATTTTTTTATTAAATGTAAACTAAGAATTGAACAAAATGATAAATTCATATTTATACCAAGAAATGTTTACATATAATTAAAATTTAATGTTACATGAATTATTTATAACTTTGCAAAATTAAATTTAAATTAAACAAATAACAACTAAATGCATTTCTAATTATTATTATCAAATATTTATAGTATAAGTACATCCCAATTATGTTGGCACCTACTTTTATTATAATTTATGGTTTAAGTACATCACAACTATGTTGGCACCTACTTAAATTTTAACTATAGTTTAGTTGTTCAAAAATTATATATTTTAATATTTGTTTTCCAATCAATCTTGAGGAACTGCAAGATTTTTGAAGTCTTCAGCAACTTCATCAATAATTTTATCTTGCATCCTTCGATCCGCGAACATCTATTCTTTCACGCATATAAGAGCTTCCAAAATATTTTCTTTAAGTCTAGATCTTCTTTCCTCCAATACCCTGTCACCTGCATTAAAAGCAGACTCGGATGCCACTATTGAGATTGGAACTGTTCGTATATCTCGTACCATTTTAGGTAATACAAGGTATGTCCGCTTATGTAAATTACCCACTTCGTAAAATATCTAATTATCCACCATCGTAAGATATCTAAATATCTAAACTTTTTAAAAAAAAAAAAAAATTTCAAGGGCCAGCCGGTTAACCGTGGCTCGTGAAGGTGTAGCTTGTGAACCGCCAACTCGAGTTACGGGTAGGCCGTAGGTCCAAGGTATATTCGGGCCGGCTCATCCATCTTGACACCTCTAGAGATCGTGTTCCATCAATTAGATATAATTAGCCAAGTATAGTTTGATTTACTCTGTACAGGTTTTGTATTTTAGGAAAAACTCTTGTTCAGTATCTTTCTATTCTTTGTAAGTTGTTTATATAATACATAATGTACAACATGCTATAACATATTGGTTAAGCCTCTTCTTCCATTATTCTTTCATGGTATCAGAGCAAAATCGGCTTATGCCTGATCCTAACATTATGTCGTCTTCCACTGCTATCTTCATTCCCCCAAACAATCTCCTACAATTTGTTTCGGCGAGGCTTGAGGGACCTGCTTCTTATTTAAATTGGTCATCTCAAGTTGAAGATGCTCTCAATATTCACAATCTTATAGGCTATGTGGATGGTACAGAGCCGTGCCCAGATGAACTTCTACCTGTTGTTAAAGTTAAAACAAATCGTGAAACCAATCTCAATTTCACTTTATGGAATCGTAAAAACCAATTTGTACTGGTTTGGATAAAATATACTATATCAGAGAAGGTGTTATCTATAGTCTATGGTCTGAAGACTGCACGGCTACCATGGGTTGCTTTAGCACAACGCTTTGCCTCTCTTTCGACCTCCAATGTCAACCAATTAAAGCGCCAATTGCAAATTTTGCAGCAAGCATGGAAGAGTTGTTCGAATTTCATTGAACAGGCAAAAGCCTTTGCTGATCAATTAGCATCGGTAGGAAAACCTGTGGATGAAGAAGATTAAATTTCTGATATCCTTGGAGGACTATGAGAAACGCGAGATTCAACCCAATTACACCTAAAGGGGGGTGATTAGGTGTAAATGCAAAATTATCAATCTAATTAACTAGAAACATGTCATAAGTTAATTATATCTAGGTGATTAGTCAAACAATCCAATTTAGCCTATTTTTGAATACCGCAATTATATCAAAACAATAAATAAAGCAGTAAAAAATACCAAAATTGTTCACAGAGAAACCCAACAAGGGCGCTTTACCAGTCAAATATCCACTATAAACTGATAATACACTTACGGACCACCAGCAAAGTTGATAATACAAGCTTTTTTGATCTCCTGTCTGAAATAAGAAGCAGCCCTCCTGGAATGTGCACACGAACACCAAACCCAACTCTTCTTTGTAAATCAGTCCTCCTCGAATGAACACACGAACTCCAATCCTGACTCTTTACGTAGTTTATCTCCTGTTGATCTTCCTAAAAAACTTCCCGTTCTTCAGATTCTCCCTTGATCGTTAATACAACACAGTTGACAATACAATCTTGCAGCAGACCCAAGCGAAGAATGCAATCCAGTGTTTGATTTGGCTTTTTGATGTTTTCATAATAATTGGCACATGAACAATGGAACAATTGAACTTTGATTCTTGTAAAGCATGTATTCTCTCTTAATAATATGATGTTCAATCTCCCTACCGTAAAACGTGCGGCGCCTCAATATATAGGGTTGGACGGAATAGGTCGTATGAGTCAAGTAAAAATCTCGGAAATAGAAAATTAGGTCTAGCCAAATAATACGTCGCTCGAGTGAGAAGGCTGCTTCGCTTGAGCAAAAGGTCTGTCGCTGGAGCGACAGTGGGGCGAAGGTCGAAGGAGGCAGTCTCTGTTTCAGTCGCTCGAGCATCACTCCAGCGAGCAGCTAGCGAAAAAATCAGTGTGAATCCTTCTTGTTCCAAAAATGAAACCCCAAACCCTAAGTTAATCTACCAACTATGAAACTTTACAATTTAGTCCCTAAACTTATATAATTGTTCAAGTAGGTAAATTTGTTCACAGAATCACCAATACAAAATATAAACCTAATAGACAGTAAGCTTGATCTCTTGGCAAGCTTTTGTGTTCGAGTTGGTCAATTTGTTCACATAATCGTCAATACAAAATATAAACCTAACAGACTCAACAAAGCCTATACTCCATTCATCTCAAATTGCTATTTTGCTCAACGAGAGAAATCTTTGTCTTTGTCAGATTTCCAATCTGAATTATTTACCTTTGAAGCACTCCTCGAAAATTAGCAACGAAGTTTACAAACTGATCATAATAGTTTTGCAATGCTGGCTAATAAACTTGGAGGAGGTGGAAAAAAATTTCCGAAGAAAAATAAAAAAAAAATGGCAGCAACAACGTTCTATTCTTGCCCCTCCAATTCAGAAATATGTTCAAGGCAATGGCAACAACAATCTTGTCTCTACCAATAATGGGAACTCAAATTCCAATACTGCCGATGTACCTAACTTGGCCAATGATCCAGATTTTGATCCTTATGCTTGTCAAATATGCGGTATGAAGAATCACATGGCAATTGATTGTTTCCATAGGTACGATTATAACTACCAAGGGCGACATCCTCCTCAAAAATTAGTAGTTATGGTGGCACATTCCATTTTTTTCCATGATGAAAATACCTGATATGTTGATAGTGGTGCAAACCAACATGTGACTGCCAACATTGCTAATCTTCATTTGGCTGAACCATACAAATGAGATGAAACAGTAGCTGTGAGTAATGGTAATGGTTTACAAATTAAGCATACTGGTAAACTTATGTTACATGCATCTAAATCCAATTTACAAATGAAGCATGCTCTTCTTTGCCTGCAAGCAGTAGTAAACTTTTGTCAACTAATCGATTTGTATAGATAATAATTGCTATTTTGTTCTTACCGTTTCTAATTTCTTTGTTAAGGACAACCTCACAGGATGCATTCTATTAACAGGCAAGAGTGAAGGTGGACTCTACCCTATTCAAGTTAATTGACAGTCTATAAATAATTTTCGTTCAAGTGTTGCTCTTATGGGTGTTCATACTACAGTTGATGTTTGGCATGCAAGATTGGGTCACCCCTCCTCGCATATCACTAAAAGTGTTTTCAACTCTTTTAATTTACCTATTTCTGGTTCCTCCAGTTTGAATAATGTTTGTCCATCTTCTTTAATGGGAAAAGCTAAGCAATTACCGTTTAGTAATTCCTCACGTATGATGTTGTCTCCTTTGGATCTTATTCATTCAAATGTTTGGATTTTACCTATTGTTTCTTCTGAAGGACATTGATATTATGTTCTTTTTATAGATGATTAATCCCGTTTTACATGGATGTACCCTATTCGTAATAAATCTAATGTTTTTTCTTGTTTTGTGCACTTTAAATCCTTGGTTGAAAATCGCTTCACTAAAAGGATTAAACAACTTCAATATGATAATGGCATGAGTACATTTCACATCAATTCCAAAAAAATTTAAGTGACTGTGGGATTCATCAACGACTCTCATGTCCTTATATCTCTCAGCAGAATGCCTTAGCTGAGAGGAAGCATAGGCACATTATGGAAGTTGGACTATCATTGTTGGCTCAATCACATTTGCCTACAAAGTTTTGGGTTGAAGCGTTTATGACTGCCATTTATCTTATCAATCCCACTCCCACTCCCACT